TGTTTCTCTCTCATCGATGTTTCTAGCTCTCTCTCCCTCTCCCTTCCTCTCTGTAAAAAATCAATAAAATATATTTTAAAAAAAATTTTTTAAGTGAACCTTGTAGCTAAAAAGAAAGTAAAACAAGTATTTTCCTGGTAACCTCATGTGTGCTTGGCCCGGGACTGGGTGGTTCTGGGGACACGGTTGCTCACTAAGACGGGAATATATTAAATGCCACTGAAGTGTATATTTAAATAGCCAAAAAAAAATAAAACAAGTTTTTTCCTGGTAACCTCATGTGTGCTTGGCCCTGGACTGGGTGGTTCTGGGGACACGGTTGCTCACTAAGACAGTGCCAGGTCCTGCCCGCTTGACTCAGTGGGGAAGACAGGCATTAACTATATAATCCCACAACCTGAGAAAGGATGGGGGGGGCGGTCCTTGTGGCTGTGGCAGGCTCTCCCACTCTCCTCCCCTCTCGCTGCCTCTTACCCCGTCGGCCTCCCTGTTCTTCCAACAATCACACCTGCTTCTGCCTCAGGGCCTTGGCAGTTGCTGTTCCTTGTGCTGGAACACTCTTCCCCATGCGGCCACACAGACCCTTCATGGCCCCCCTAGTAAAATTGTGCCCCACCACCCCTCCAGCCATTTTTCTCCATCCCTTTTTCAGTATCGTTTTTTCTCCAAATACTACCTCTTCACATCTCCCTGAATTGTTTTCAACTCTATTATTTTTCCTCCCAGAGGAAATGAACAGTAGTGTGCCTGGATTCAAATCCTGTCGCTACCTGCCTAGCTGTGTGACCTTCAGCCAGTTACTTCACCTTTTTGTGGCTCAGTTTCCTCATCAGCAAATGGAAATTATAATAATAGGCTCTACCTCATAGAATATCAGGCGACCAGGTGGTCTAATGAGTGATGCGTGCAAAGCACTTACAGCAGAGCTTGGCATCCAGTCAGAGCAAGGTAAGTCTCAGCCCTGCTTTGTTACTGTTGGCGGCAATGTTATATATAATAGAGTAACATGACAGAAATGCAAAGGATGCAGACGAGATGCAGGGTGTCCCTCCAAAATGTATTTACACGTTAACAGCTGAGAGCGGCTCAGTTTTGAAAGTGAAATGTATTTCAATAAGCACTGCCTTTATAATTATTCCAAGTGTGTGTATACATTTTGGGGGGGACACCCTATATATACAATAAAAGGGAAGGCTCCCTCCTGCTGTCTCACAGACAGGCAGTCCCGGGTGGAGGTTTTTAAATTTTATTTTATTTAATATATTTTTATTTATTTCAGAGAGGACAGGAGAGGGAGAGAGAGAGAGAGACATCAATGATAAGAATCACTGATGGGCTGCCTCTGGCACGCCCTCTACTGAGGATCGAGCCCGCAACCCAGGCATGTGCCCTTGACCGGAATCGAACCCAGGACCCTTCAGCACACAGGCCAACGCTCTATCCACTGAGCTAAACCAGCCAGGCTTTTTTTTTTTTTTAGGAGTGTGTGAGTCAGGGGTCTCCACCGACAGAGAAGGGACAGGATGTGTATGTGAGAGAAACAAAGACAGAGGGACAGATACAGCAAGAGATGAGACAGAGAATCAGAGAGAGAAAAGGAGAAAAAAGGAAACAGGCAGAGGGACACAGAGAGACACAGCGACAGACAGGAACAGAGTGGAGGGTTTGGGGAGAAACCCTATCTGAAGAAGGGACATTTGAACAGACATGAGTGACATGGAGAGATGCTCCTTCCCCCCCCCCGTTGTCCTCCGTTTTCTTCCGCCGTAGCCCTTAGCACAACCATCATTAAACATTTATTTGTGCAACGCCACGATTTTTGTAGCAGCCTCCCAGACGTGAGCTCGTGGTGGCGAGACCCTGCGTGGCCCTCCTCTGTACGTGAATGAGTGAGTGACTCAGTAAGTGGATGAACCAATCGGCTGTGTCTGACTCCAAAACCAGAGTTCTGGATCCTTCCGCCCCACAGCCGGTGCTCCAGCTCCTCCTGGGCTACCCCACAAGCCGCCAGACCCCCGGGACCGGCTGCCCCAGGCCCCTCACCTTTCTGCACCTTGTCACACAACAGGTAGAGCTCCTCGCCACCTGTGCACGGCCCGCTCTCCTTGTTGATCCGGCAGATCCGCAGCTCGGACGTGTTTGTGGACTCTGGGAAGGAGCATGAGGAAGAGGTACATGAGAAAAGACGGGAATTCAGTCATCACATCCTTAGCAGGTACCCTGTGGGTGCCCACCCTGGGCCGGGGAGAGGTGGGAAATAGAGAAGCCAGGGCACCTGTCCCTCCTGGAACCCATGGTCGGGGTGGAGAAAGAATCCGCTCAGACAAGAGGGGGTTAATGGACAATCACAAGTCCTCATGCTGAGGCCCGGTGAGTGTCTGGCTTAAGGAGAGACCCTCAGAATTCAGGGGGAGTTGGCAGGGTCAGGCATCAGAGCCAATTCTTAGATGAGGGTTAATGTCCTGAAACCGGTAGTGGACACCTGTTGTTTGACCTCTACCAGTCCTGGCCCTTCTTCTGCTAGCTGCCCCCCAATTTTCTTTGGAGGGACCACCCCACATCTCAGTGATGGGGGTCGGGTAAGACTGAGTCCACTCCCTAGCTCAGCAGTGAGCATGTGACCCAGACCTGGCCAATCAGAACATCACCTCCTCCTGGCCAAAGCTGATTCGTCAGAGAGGACACATGATCAATCTCAGGCCAATGAGAGACAGCCCTGAGACTTTGAGCAAAACTATTAGTAGACCGGGAGAGGTGCCAACCTGGTAGGATATAAGCCTAGGGCTGCACAGAATTATCTTGCCCCCAGGTGGAACGGCATTGCCAAGAATGACTCTAACATGGAGGAAGCATAGCTAGAGAGGACACAGACCCTAATGACATCTCTGAGGACCTGGATGCAGCCAGACCTGAAGCACTGTGCTACCTCTAGATTTTTTTTAGTTAATGGCACAAATTCATTTTTTTTCTTCTGCCCGTTCGAGTTTGGATTCTATCACTTGCATCCATAAAAGCCCTGATTGAAAAATAGCCTTCCCCATTTTAATGCTTATGGCAGTCACTGTAAGCTGGCTAAAACCTAGCAGCCATCTATACAGGATGAAAACCTAAATACTTTCTTTCCCAGACTCCCTTGCAACCATGGGACCAAGTTTGGCCAGTGGGACATAAGCAGAAGTCTAACTTGGGTGGACACACACAATACAATATACAGATGATGTATTATAGAATTGGATACCTGAAACGTATGTAACTTTTATTAACCAATGTCATCTCAATAAAGTCAATTTAAAAAAAGGGGAGGATGGCCTGACCGGTTTGGCTCGGTGGATAGAGCATCGGCCTGCGGACTGAAGGGTCCCGGGTTCAATTCCAGTCAAGGGCATGTACCTTGGTTGCGGGCACATCCCCAGTGGGGGGTGTGCAGGAGGCAGCTGATCGATGTTTCTCTCTCATCAATGTTTCTAACTCTCTATCCCTCTCCCTTCCTCTCTGTGAAAAAGTCAGCAAAATATATTTAATAAATAAATAAAAATAAAAGTAAAAAAGGGGAGGGGGAAACCCGGCTGATGTGACTCAGTGGTTGAGCACTGACCCATGAACCAAGAGGTCACTGGTTCGATTCCCGGTCAGGGCACATGCCCAGGTTGCAGGCTGGATCCCCAGGTAGGGGGAGTGCAAGAGGCAGCCTATGATGATGTTTCTCTCTCATCGATGTTTCTATCTCTCTATCCCTCTCACTTCTCTCTCTAAAAATCAATAAAAACATACTTTTTTAAAAAAGGGGGGAAAAAAGCAGTCTACCGGGGAGTTTCTGGGGAACATATTATTTTCTCTATCAAAGACAGAAACAGTATTACTCATGCTGCCTCTTCCCTAGGATAGCCTAGTACAGGTGTACATATCAATAAAAACATACTTTTTTAAAAAAAGGAAAAAATAAGAGAAGTCTAATAAGGGGGTTTCTGGGGAATATATTATTTTCTCTATCAAAGACAGAAACAGTATTACTCATGCTGCCTCTTCCCTAGGATAGCCTAGTACAGGTGTACAGGCCGTACGCTCTACAATACTCGGAAGTCCCGCTTCCACAGGCCACATAGGAAATGCTGACCCCTGGCACTGTCAGTGGACAGCTCGCTCGCCATACAGGGTGACACTGCCCATCACGCCTCGAATACAGACATGATGCCTGGAGCTGCAGCAGCCAGCTCATGACCACGGGGGAAAGCAAAGAGAATCACAGAGCTGCTGAACCAGTTCCCCGATATGCTGAGCAGCTGAATCCACAGGACCAGGCTTCAAAACTGAGACATATACACATAAAGAACTCCCACCCTAGCCAGTCTTGCTCAGTGGTTAGCGTGTCAGCCTGCGGACTGAAGGGTCTTGGGTTGGATTCCGGTCAAGGGCATGTACCTCGGTTGCAGGCTCTATCCCCAGCACTGTGTGGGGCATGTGCAGGAGGCAACCAATCGATGTGTCTCTCTCTGTCTCTCCCCCTCCCTTCCACTCTCTAAAAAAAATATCCTCGGTGAAGATTAATGAAAAAAAGGAAAAAAGAAAGAAAGAGAGAGAGAGATGTATTTAAAAAAATATCCTTGGTGAAGATTAATGAAAAAAAGAAAGAAAGAAAGAGAGAGAGAGAGAGAGAGAGAGAGAGAGAGAGAGAGAGAGAGAGAGAGAGAGAGAGAGAGAGAGAGAGAGAGAGAGAGAGAGAGAGAGAGAGAGAGAGAGAGAGAGAGAGAGAGAGAGAGAGAGAGAGAGAGAGAGAGAGAGAGAGAGAGAGAGAGAGAGAGAGAGAGAGAGAGAGAGAGAGAGAGAGAGAGAGAGAGAGAGAGAGAGAGAGAGAGAGAGAGAGAGAGAGAGAGAGAGAGAGAGAGAGAAAGAAAGAAAGAAAGAAACTCCCTGTTGGTTCGTGCCTTTGTATGTGGGGCTTTTTGGTACCTGCAGCCAAAGACAGTCCTATGGACACAGCACCCTCGACTCACTCTTGTCATAGACAGGCTCAGACAGCACGGGATCCATCTGGCGCATCTGTCCCTGCTGGTCCCTGTAAGAGGCCTGGAAGCAGATCCTCACGACGTTCATGTCCACCTCCTGATGGTTCTTCAGGGACCCAGCTGCAAGAGAGACGTGGGAAAGCTGAGGGTGGGGGAGAGGGGAGGACTGGAGGCGATGGTGGGGCCCGGAGAAGGCAAGGGGATGGGAGTGGGCAGAGGGGTTGGGGTCTGGGCTCACCATTATACGGGTCGATGCCCAGCTGGATTTTCCGCTCTATGGCAGCCTCGATCTCCTTCTTCCTCACACACTGGATGCCCAGGTTGTTAAAGCTGCGTGGGGGGGCAGGTGGAAGGGAGGTCATCACCAGGGGGCAGGGGTAGCTCTAACCCCCAGGAGGACTCCAGCAGATGCTACCTGCCCTGGGCCCAGGGGTCCCAGCTTTGAAGGGGTCCGGGTTCCCGGTCCTCCAGGGTGTCAACACTGGCCAACCTCATTGATAAGAAAACTCAAATGAAACACCAACGCAATGCCAATTTTCACAAACGCATCCAGATAGCAAAGATCAAAGCATGTGCTAGCACCCCCTGCGGGTGAGGTGGTGGAGAGTCAGCCACTCTCGCCCACTGCTGTGGGGCTGGAAAGTGCTCCAGCAATTCACACTGGAGGACGATCTGGTCGTATTCATTCATTCCACGAATATTTTCTGAGCACCTACTGTGTGCCAGGCATGTGCTATGCGCGGCGGGGGGTGGGGGTGGGGGGACATAGCAGGGAACAAGAGAGACAAAAATCCCTGCTCCTACTAAATGTATAGATCACTAAGAGTATACAGGTACCCACTTGGAGCCGGCAATTTCATTTCTAGGACTTTATCCCAGAGAAGAAATGATCTATATGTAAAGCAATTCACTGCGACTCAGTTTATCATAGAAGCACAAGGGACTGAAACCAGCGTAGGTGCCCATTAATAGAGGACTTGCTAGGCCGGTGTGGCTCATTGGTTGAGCGTCAGCCTATGAACCAAGAGGTCACAGTTCGATTCCCGGTCAGGGCACATGCTTGGGTTGTGGGCTCTATCCCCAGCTGGGGGGCATGCAGGAGGCAGCCGATCAACGATTCTCTCTCATCACTGATGTTTCTATCTCTCTCCCTCTCCCTTCCTCTCTGATATCAATAATATACATTGATATCAAGTCACTGTGTGCATCCACACATTGGAATATTATGCAGCCAGTAAAAAGGATAGGGCAGCTCTAACTGTTCTGAAAGGCACGATCTCCAAGATGTACTGGAACACAAAAATGAGGTTCGAGTGTCTGCTATTATTTATAAGGAGAGAAAAGATATATCTATGCAGAGCATATTTTTAACTGCCTCCAGGAAGGGACACTAGTATCTGGAAAACCAAAGGAGGAAGGAAATTCATTTTTCACTGCACACTCTTTCTGAACCTTTTCATTTTTTATTTATTAAAAACATAAATATTATAAAGTGAAAGAACGGGGCTTGCAGATAAGTTGCGTCTTGGGTCAGATCCCAGCTCTGCCATTGGCTCTCTGTAGCCCTGCAACCTCTCAGAGCCTCAGTTTCCGGTGTGAATGTGTGTGTGGGCACAGGGCTCCAGGCCTGAGGCGATCCCTCCACTGCCACCGGCTGCTCGCCCACTGCTCGTCTGGGAAATGCCGTCGGGAGAGTCTGCCTAAGCTGGGCCTTGCCCTGAGGTCTCCCTGAGTGATTCTGAGCCCCTCAGACTCTCCATGACCAAGAGCGAAGGGCCTGGGGCCGGGGTTGGGTACCTGTGCCGGGGGCTGACGTGAGGCCGGAGCCGCACCCTGCAGACGCCGTCGGTGCAGTCTTTCCCCACGAGGCTGTGGGGGTGCACGCGGTGAGGCCAGTCCTTCCACACCAGGCATGCGGTCACCTCCACCTCCCGCAGCCCTCCGCAGTCCCGGAGCTGCAGGAAGACAGGTGCACTTTTGGGGGGTCCCATCGTCGATACCCGCATCTATCCAAACTCCCTGGGGACTCCCTGGGCAGGTCCCCATCCCCTCCCCTCCCCCTAGAGCAGCCATGGGAAAACTACGGCCCGACCGTACCCTTTTATGTAATGATGTTTACTTTGAATTTATATTAGTTCACACAAACACTCCATCCATGCTTTTGTTCCGGCCCTCCGGTCCAGTTTAAGAACCCATTGTGGCCCTCGAGTCAAAAAGTTTGCCCACCCCTGCCCTAGAGTGATGGACGGGTGGGGTGTTTGCTTAAGACCCCTCCGAGATCCTAACCCTGAGACTTCCAGCTGCTGCCCTGAGGGCCTTGTAACACGTTAGCTGCCCCCAGATGTGCTTCCTCTGGCCACTCAGGCTTTTAAACATTGGATGCCTCCCAGGCCTCTAAGTACTGCCCGCAGATAACATCCTCGTGACAGCAGAGAAAGGCACCTTTACGGTGTCCACCACCTTAACCGGGTGATCAAGGTCAGCATCACCGGTACCGGGCCCAATGACCCAGGCACGCCTAACGCCGGGAAGGACACAGCGTCACGGCTGTGACAGCCCCTCCAGAAGTGCATCACCTGAACCTAACCGTGAGGAAGCACCAGACACTCAAATTGCAGGTCACCAGATCAAAAATATCAGTGTCATGAAAGATGATAAAAAGATGGGTGTTGCCCTAGCTGGTGTTGCTCAGTGGTTAGAGTGTCGGCCCACACACTGAAGGGTTGTGGTTCAATTCCTGGTCAAGGACAGGAACCTGGGGTGCAGGTTCCACTTCAGGGCATGTGTAGGAGGCAACCAGTCACTGTCTCTCTCTCTCTCTCCCTCCCTCTCTCCCTCCCTTCCTCCATTCCACTGTCTCTAAAAAATTAATGGAGCCCTGGCTGGTTTGGCTCAGTGGATAGAGCATTGGCCTGCAGACTGAAAGGTCCCAGGTTCGATTCCGGTCAAGGGCATGTACCTTGGTTGCGGGCACATCCCCAGTAGGAGGTGTGCAGGAGGCAGCTGATCGATGTTTCTCTCTCATCGATGTTTCTAACTCTCTATCTCTCTCCCTTCCTCTCTGTAAAAAATCAATAAAATATATTTTAAAAAATAATAAATTAAAAAATTAATGGAAAAAATATCCTCGGGTGAGGATTAACAACAATAAAAAGATGGGTGTCATATTTTGGATGAAAGGAAAATAAACACGTATTTTGACCTGGCTGGTAGTTCCATAGTGTGTACATAAGTAACTAATAAACAAATAGGTTCAGAGGCGTGGAATCATGGCACAGACTGATGGATCCCAAGGGGAAGGGGAGGGGCAGGAAGAGATTAACCACATAATTTATATGCATATATGCATAGCCTATGGGTAGAGACAGTAGCATGGTGAATGCCTGGGGTGGACGGGAACTGGTGGAAGGGGCAATGGAGGAAAAACGGGGGACATCTATAATACTCTCAACAATAAAGATAAATAAAAATTTACCAAGCTGTATACTTAAGAGTTGATCTTAACAAATATGTGAAGATAAAATATGATAATATATCAGTTTATTATATTAAATTTAATGTTAACTTCATATTCAAGGTTAATTTGACTAAGTTAATTGTTAATTTGATATTTAAAATTACATTTAAAATTGTAATTATTAAATTAACATTTTAAGATAAAATGCAACTTAAAATATAACTCAATTTTTTAAAAAGCAGAGACTAGCCCAGCCGATGTGGCTCAGTGGTTGAGCATCGATCTATGAACCAGGAGGTCAAGATTCGATTCCTGGTCAGGGCACACGCCCGCGTTGCAGGCCCGATCCCCAGCAGGGGGTGTGCACGAGGCAGCTGACGGATGTTGATGTTTCTATCTCTACCTCTCCCTTCCTCTCTCTCTAAAATCAATAAAAACATATTTTAAAAATATATATGTATTTTTTATTGATTTCAGAGAGGAAGGGAGAGAGACAGAAACATCAATAATGAGAGAGAATCATTGATCCGCTGCCTCTTACACGTCCCATGCTGGGGATCGAACCCGCAACCTGGGCATGTGTCCTGACTGGGAATGGAACCAGTGTCCTCCTAGTCCATGAGTCGATGCTCAACCACTGAGCCACGCCAGCTGGGCCAGATTCTCTTTTTAAAAAAGGAAGTTTTGGCAAATGGGCTGAATTTCTGCTCAGCAGCCAAAGGCATCAGTGGATAAAAAGCAACTCGTTTAGCCCTGATGGTGTGGCTCACTTGGCTGAGCTCCCTCCTGCTCACCAAGATGTCAACCATTTGATTCCCGGTCAGGGCACGTGCCCGGGTTGCATGCTCAATCCCCACTTAGGGGCGTGCAGGAGGCAACCAATTGATGTTTCTCATCGATTTCTCTCTCTCTCTCTCTCTCTCTCTCTCTCTCTCTCCCTCTTCCTAAAAAAATACATTAAAAAAAAAAACACCATATAAAAACAACAACAAAAACATAACCCTTTAAACCATGGGCCCAGACCAATGAAGCTTTGTTAAGTTACTTGCTAGGCCCTGCTCTGAACTACTAAAGCTGGAGCCTGTAAAATACAATAAAACTGCCCAGCTGACTTCCTCAGTGGTTGTGTCAACCTATGAACCAGGAGGTCAAGGCTTGATCCCCATTCGGGGGGAGGGGGGTGTGTGTGCCAGAGGTAGCCAATTAGTGATATTTTTCTCATCATTGATGTTTCTCTTTTTAATTTTTTTTAAAATATGTTTTTATTGATTTCAGAGAGGGAGGGAGAGATAGAAACACCAATGGTGAGACAATCATTGATTGGCTGCCTCCTGGGGATCGAGCCCACAACCTGGGCATGTACCCTTGACTGGAATTGAACCCAGCACCCTTCAGTCTGTAGGCTGACTCTCCACTGAGCCAAACCAGCTAGGGCCATCATTGATGTTTCTCTCTTTCTCTCTCTCTCTCTCTCTCTCTCTCTCTCTCTCTCCCTCTCCCTTCCTCGCTGAAATCAAGAAAAAAAAATTCTTTAAAAAATACAATAAACCGGCGAGGTTCAGTGGGATAATACTGCCCTCTAGCGGACATTCGAGACATTGGGGTGATTTTGGTGACACTGATGCGCACCCTCAGCAGGCAGTAGACAGGCCCAGAGATGCTACACAGCCTACAAACCAAGGGCATCCCACACAAGTCCTGCAAGACTTCTGAACCTCCCACCACCATTTCATGTCAGTGAAAAACCTGTTTAAAATCACCAGAGCCCAGCCCTAGCCGGTTTGGCTCAGTGGATCGAGCATCAGCCTGTGGACTGAAGGGTCTCAGATTTGAATCCAGCCAAGAGCATATTCTCAGGTTGCAGGCTCTATTCCCAGTGGGGGGCATGCAGGAGGCAGCTGATCAATGGCTCTCTCTCATCACTGATGTTTCTATCTCTCTCTCTCCCTTCCTCTCTAAAGTCAATATTTTTTTAAAAAATAAAAGCATTCTGTTGCTGCACTTCCCTGGCATGCATTCTCCATCTTTTGAGTTATGCTTCCCTGGGACTGTGACCGAGAATTTAATACTGAAATAAAATGTGCTGACATATGCTCCACTAGTTTCCTTTTTATTTCTCCTTCTTTCTAATGTTAGGGCATTATGGATTCTGGGCATGGTTATAAGTAGAGGTAAGTAATGTTATTAATACATTTCATTGAGTCAGATAGGATTAAAACCATTCTTAACCAGCTTCCTGCTATAATGTTAGGAGATTCTGAAGAGATCAGGGTTGGTGTCAGGATTCAGGAAGACTGCAGGGCTGAAAGCTGTTTATCTTTGAGATGTCACACAAGATTGTGGATAAGGCATGAAGCCTTGGAGTGAGTCAGACCTGGTACCAAACAGGCTCTACCACTGGCCTTACTGTCCTTACCTGTAAGATGGGTATCATTAAGTACCTGGCACACAGGAGCACTTAGCACATGCCAGGAATTCCTAGAGTAAAAGTGCTGTGTGCCCCTGAGCAAGTAACTGACCATCTCTGAGCCTCAGTTTCCTCTTCTGAAAAATGGGGATAAGAAAAATCCCAAATCCAGAGTCAGAAACAGGTCATCCCCTATTGCTGGGCATTTACTGTTCTAACTCTCCGAGATCAAAACCAACACCGAGCCCAAATAATTGCCTGCAAAGACTTAGAAATAAAAAGCAGGGGAAACACAGCCTGCAAGTAGCATCCCACAGGTAACGTATCGTTACAAAGGGAGAGCTGCCCCGTTACAAAGGAGGGACCGGGCAGTCGCCACCTGTGGTGACTGAGTTGTGTCCCCCTGAATTCATATTTCAATCCCCACCCCCACTCCCTCCGAATGTGACTGTATTTGCAGATAGAGTGTTTGAAGAGCTAATTTAAAGAGCCATAGGGGTAGGCCCTGCTCCAGTTTGCCTGGTCTCCTATAAGAAGAGGTCATTTGCCTGGCCAGGTGGCTCAGCTGGTTGGAGCAGCATCCTGTTACCAAAAGGTGGCGGGCTCAGTTCGCAGTCAGGGCACATACTAAGGCCGGGGTGCGTGCAGGAGGCAACTGATCGATATTTCTCCCTCACATCAACGTTCCTCCTTCTCTCTTTCCCTCTCCCTCCCCCTTCCTCTCTAAAATCAATAAAAACTTACCAGGTGAGGATTTTAAAAATAATAACAAAAGAAGTGGCCATGCCCTGACCGGTTTGGCTCCGTGGATAGAGCGTCAGCCTGCGGACTCAAGGGTCCCAGGTTCGAATCTGGTCAAGGGTATGTACCTTGGTTGCGGGCACATCCCCAGTGGGGAGTGTGCAGGAGGCCGCTGATCGATGTTTCTCTCTCATCGATGTTTCTGACTCTCTATCTCTCTCTCTTCCTCTCTGTAAAAAATCAATAAAATAAAAAAAAAGAAGTACAAACTGCCAGTTATAAAATAAGTCATGGGATGTAATATACAGCATAGGGAATATAGAGTAATAACATTATAATGAATAACTAGA